CTGAATCATACCGTGCCAGATTTTGGTGACTAAACATTTGTAATTGGAGTCATTTGCAAAGGGAGAACTATTCTGAACGGGTCTCGTGAGAAACTACATTACGCTGACTGGGATCTGGAGTTTTTCCCCGCCTACAGATGACCGTGCTTTGCTCTTTTCTACCTGTATTTCAGTCTCCGCATGCCTTCTCTCCGCAGAGTAGATAATCAGGGTATTTATGGCCTCGAAAACGGATTTCCTCTAGCTGTTAGGGGAATAATGATTAACAAATGAGAACTATGCCCCTTGAGAAACCAAGCCTTAATCTAGTTTAACCTGAAGCAGCTTGTAGATGTGAATGGCAAGGAAGAGGTTGCCCTCATCAAGTATTTTCTATTCTCCAGCTGGTATATTGGCTTCATAAACTGCAACCAAAATAACCACAACAACTAGGCAGAAGCTTCTTTCAGAAGCTGCCCCACTCCAGAGAGTTACACCTCCAAAGCCTCTTCAGTTAATAAGTCCCTATTTCCTTCTTTCCTTCAATTTTTACTTGTTTGGTCCTTCTCAGCTACCATCGTTTTCCCAGAATACCCCAACACCGGGGGGCTTGCTTTGGGGAATGGGACAACATGCCATGGCCAACTCGCTATGGGACACTTCAACAATTCTATTTCATTACTTAAAATGCATAAAAAATATTTTCATTTTTGCCATTCCCCTTTCATTCTTTTGCATCCTTTCTTTAATGATTCCGTTTCACCATTTCTTTGATATTAGTGTAACTCTTGTCCCGCAATGAGTTGGCCGTGGGAGGTGGACTGTGGCAAGTTAACCGTGGTGCATTGGGTGTGGTGAATTGTCATAGACTTGTTGCTTTGGGCTTCCCTGGGAGAGGTAAATGGATGTTTGAACCTCAAGGATTGCTGTTGGGGGAGCTATGCTAGTCCTCAGGTTAACCAGTGCAACCAAAATGTCCTTTCAGACATGCAAGGTTCTGTTAATCTTGATATCGGTCTTGCAGGATAATCCAGACCAGAAGTGAGGCCAGATGGACTAATTCTACTTTGTTGTAAGGAGAAGCATGATTTAAATGGGGGTATATATTGTTTACAATTGTAAATATACAACGGTGCTGCTGTTTTGGCATTACATATACCATACATACAAAGATATTGCTAAACCATTAACTTTAGTATTATTGATACAGTATTTGCTTTTTGGTTCTGTTCATTCTGTCTATTTTTTTTTCCCTGACCTTCCCTTCTTTTTTGTAGCCACTGATAAAACTTATTCCATGTTTCACGGTAAGCTGATTCCCCCTTATTTTTCAATTGTAAGGCTTATCTATCCCATTCTGCACAAGCCATTATTTTCTTTATTATTTTTCTTTGTGGTGGTATGGTCTCATTTTTTCCAATATTGTGTGTATATCATTCTCGCCACTGTCAAAACATGTATAATTAAATATGCTATATCTTGCCTATACCCTTCTATCATTAGTCCCAAGAGAAATAATTCTGGATTAAATGGAATATGCTCTCCCACCATTTGTTCCACCCAAGTCTGTATCTATCTCCAGTATTTATTTTTTTGCAAATTTATACATCCATCACCTGTGGTAGAATGTTACCTGATAAGTCCTTACACTTCCAGCATTCTGGGGATAAATTTTTATACTTTTTGGCAAGCCTTGATGAGGGGAGGTACCACCTGTAAAACTTCTTGTAAAGGTTTTCCTTATAGGCCGTAGCCATTGTTAACTTCCTATTATTTGTCCAGAGATTCTCCCATTTAACCAGTTCAATGTTGTGTCCAAAATTTCACATGCTATATTTTTATAATCTAATTTTACCTATTTTATTTGAATCTGTCGGTGCTTCTGGCGGGGATAAAGTAAGAAATATTTCCCTGGCGGTTTTTGCAGCCGCTCAAGAGCAACGCTGGATAGATTGTCCTGGATTTCAACAGCACCAAGACAGGAAGAAAAACCTTTTTTGGGAAATGGACTGAATTTTTGCAGATTGAGCAATTGCAAACCTCGGCGTTTGCAAGCGGAAGAAAGGAAAGGAAGGGAAGAAAAAATAAAATAAAATAAGAAGGGTGACTGTTACTTTTTCTAACGCTTGTTTTCACACTTCTGAGAAAGTGAGATTCAAGGGGGCCGGAGGAAGCAGATGCAGCCCTCAGGCCCACAACCTGGGAGCCCTCCAACCGATTCAAATTAAAAATTAAACAGATTAACAGAGTTGGAAGGGACCTTGTAGGTCATCTAGTCCAACCCTCCACCCAAGCAGGAGACCCTTTACTATTTCAGATGAATGGATTCCCATTCTCTTCTTCTTCTTCCAAACCTCCAGTGACAGAGCAGCCACGACTTCTGAAGGGAACCCATTTCCACTGGTTTAATTGTTCTAGCTATCAGGAAATTCCTCTTTATATCTAGATTAAAAGGGACTAACCGTTTTACAAAAGGTTGGATTTCAACCTCCAGCAGACAGGGACCAAAGGTGCTTTTCCAAGAGGCAGCTGGACTTTCTGGTTTTTCTTTGAAGACGTTTCGCTTCTCCTCCAAGAAGCTTCTTCAGCTCTGACTGGATGGTGGGGAATATCAGAGCTGAAGAAGCTTCTTAGAGGAGAAGCGAAACGTCTTCAAAGAAAAACCAGCTGCTTCTTGGAAAAGCACTTTTGGAAGAAACTTGACCTGGATGACTGAGACCTTCCATATACTTTTTTATGGGTAGATAATATGTATTATACACACACACAAACACTGAAGAATCTTCTTGGATGAGAAGTGAAACGTCTCAAAAAAACAAACAAACCAGAAAGTCCAGTTGCCTCTTGGAAAAAGCATCTTTGGGACGATCATGACCTGGAGCAGAGGTCTCCAACCTTGTCAACTTTAAGCCTGGCAGACTTCAACTCCCAGAATTCCCCAGCCAGTTTATAGCTTACAGCTTACAACCAGCTTACAACCAGTTTACAGCTTACAATTAACACCAGTTTACAGCTTACAACCAGCATACAGCTGGCTGGGGAATTCTGGGAGTTGAAGTCCACCAGGCTTAAAGTTGCCAAAGTTGGAGACCCCTGACCTGGAGGACTGGGAATCTCTTAGACAGAGGTGGTATTCAGCCAGTTCGGACCGGTTCTGGAGAACCGGTGGCAGAAATTTTGAGTAGTTCGGAGAACCGGCACCTCTGACTGGCCCCGCCCACCCGATCTCTTCTCCATCTCCCATTGAGTCCCCAGCTGATTGGCTGGGTCTCCTTTGGTTGCCCTGCCCAGGAGAACGGAGCTGGGAAACAGGTTAGTAGGGTGAAGAGGGAAGGGGGATTTTGCAGTATATCCTTCCCCTGCCACGCCCACCAAGACACGCCCACAGAACCTGTAGTACAAAAATTTGAATCCCACCACTGATTCCTTACAGCCTGAGATGAACCTCCCATCCGTTGAGGATTTCCCATTCTTAATTTGTGCTAAAAATGAACAGATTCCTAATATCTCTAGAGGTGGTTGTAAACTGGGCAGCTCTATAAACGCAATAAATAAAATTCAGACCCTGCAACAAATTGGGTCAGAACCAGAGGTGGGTATTCAGCAGGTTCTGACCCAGTAGCAGAAATTTTGAGTAGTTCGGAGAACTAGCAAATCCCACCTCTGACTGGAGATTTTGCAGTATCCTTCCCCTGCCACACCCACCAAGCCACGCCCACAGAACTGGCAGTAAAATTTGAATCCCACCCCTCCTGAAGGCTTTAAGGTAAGGCTAGATGTGTTTTTTTTTTCCCCATCAGAAGGCAGAAGACAATTGATTATAAAAAGCTGCTATTTATTTGAAGGCCCATGTTGGTAAAAGAATCGCAAAACAAGTTAGACAAGCGGTCAAAACAAATACTCGGAGAGTTATTGCAATCAGCCTGATCACCCTGGGATGCTCAGGGGCACATCACCCTGCTCCCAAGCACACCTTTGCAACCGATTCTGCTTTCCATGAAGAATTGGGGGCCATTCACGTAGTCCTCGACTTACAACAGTTCGTTTAGCGACGGTTCAAAGTCACGGCAGCGCTGGGAAAAGCGACTCAGCCCCGTTTTTCACTCTTGTGACCGTCCCCGCATCGTCCCCATGGTCGCGGGATTCAAATTCAGCCTCTCGGCGACCAACTCGTATTTATGATGGTGGCAGTGTTCACATGAACCCCTTTTGTGACCTTCTGACAAGCACAGTCAAAGGGGGATGCCAGATTCACTTAACGAACGTGTTGCTCACTGAACAGCGGCAGTGATTTACTTAATAACGGTTCAAGGAAGGTTGTAAAATGGGGGGGGATCATTGTGGACTCAGTTGTGGCGTTAAGTCGAGAACTAGCTGTACTGGAGCACCAAAGAGACCCAGGACAACAGTCTGGGAGCAAAGAGAGAGCTTTAGCAAATGAAAGCCCATGCCCCCTTTTTAAAACAAATGATGGAATTGGGGTCCCGGGTAGTCCCAGCGCTTCATGATCACAAGCAGGCTAAATTTACATGAATGATCGCCCCTCGTACTATGTAGATCTGGAAGGGGGCTGATCTAGCATGGTTTTGAGAGTTTCCTCGGCCATTGTAAGGGGTTTAAGTCAACCCTGTGTCTGTCCCCCACGAAAGCCAATCCTTCATAGAAGAGAATGTTTGAAGCTCAGGGTTGAATTGTGGGGTCCTTTGGTGCTCTCTAGGTTTAGCAGTTTTCTGGCAGATGTTGTAGAAAAATATCAGACAATGCTAGAAAGGAGTGGGGTGTGTGGGATGATGGAGGAGGAGGAGGAGGAGGAGGAGGAGGAGGTCATCCTTGGTGCTCTCTGAGCTTGGTTATTTTCTTGCAGATGTCTCATGACCCAACTAGGGACCATCATCAGTGCTAGAAGGGACTAAGATTTGCAGAGAGGAGGAGGGGGAGGAGGAGAAGGGAGGAGGAGAGAGAGGAAGGGGAGGACTAGGGGGGGGGGGGGGGGGGGGGGGAGGAGGAGGAGGAGGAGGAGGAAGAGGAGGAGGAGGAGGAGGAGGAGGAACAGTCTGTAAAACTAGGCAGGCCTTGGTCACCCACTGACAATTCCACCATCAATTGTAACACATTACTGTGCCTTGTTCTGTTCGGTTCTACTTTATTTTCATGTTTAATTTTTTTTTTTTTTTTTGCGCTGGTCTGTGACCGCAATAAAGACTGAATTGAATTATTTAAACCCTTTATATATTTACATACAAAACTTTTTTTTAAAAAAACAACAACACCTCAACTGAAATTGGGGAAGATCTAAGCAATAAGATGGAGTGGGGAGGAAGAGGGGTCAAAAAAAAAAAAAAAGCTTGAAAAATGTATGAACGCGTATGCTCCGGAGTCTCAAACAGTAATTTGCTGGTTTTCTCTGAAAATGGGCCTTTGGTGAGGCCCACAAGAATCCTGGAAGTTCCTGTACATCGGATCATAATGCACCTCCTCTCCGACTGGATGGCCCACAGCGCTGGTTTCATTCTTCCGGGCTTCCTCCATCAGCTGCCGGCTGCTCAATTGCTCGATCTGCATTCAGAAGACAAAGAGATACCTTGGGTTGGGTCATTGGAGAGAGACTGTCAATGCAACGGTAAAGAAGAAGTTGTAAATGCCAGGGCCGACTATTCAAAACAGCAGCTGGGTCTGCTTGGTGTTCCATGGAGTCCGGAGTGCTTCATATCCCCTGTGCAACATCCAACATATCTCTAAGGTCAATGAGATGGAATGAGTTGTGGGAAAGCAGCTTTCTGGGCAAAGAGGCAGCGGGGGCTTGAAAAGTTTGGACAGCAGGAGTTAAGATAGTTCCTCCCTTGCTTTTCCCAGAGTATATATTCTGTCTTTTGGTTCACTGGCTGAATATAAAGACAGATAGATAACTCTACAAATTCTTCCATACAAAAGTTTCTTTTATTGGATTATATTAGGTATCCTCAAGGTAACTCACAATTATGTCGAGGTGCATCTAATGTCCAATTCTTTGCACAGTTGAAATCGTAGTGTAAACGATAGTAATCTTTCTATCCCATATTTCATCCCATTGTAGTAGAAGCAGGGGGTAGAGATGCTACCCTGTGCCTGTGTTCAGGCAAGAGTGAAGAAACCTCCCCCAACTCACCCAGGGTCAATTCAGTGACCAATCAGCGTTACGGATGTGGCCACATGACATGAACTACATTTCCCAAAATACCTTAACTACATTTACCATGATGCATTCCCTTAAGGGGACAGCTCTCAATTCCTAACTAACTATCCCAAATCCCATTGACTATAACTGTCTGGACAGCACACTCCCCGCCTGGAATTGTAAATTCCACTAACTAACGTAACTATATAACTAAGATAAACAGGAAAGAGTAAAACTAACTGAATAACAAATAACTATAGATAACAAATAACTGGTATAAGCATCTCCTGCTTAAGCCCTTCCAAAAACTCTGTTATTTGTTATGTTCTGTTATGAGTCTGGCAAGATTCTGTCTAGAGGTGAAGAAGAATAAAGGAAATTATTATTAAGTAACTTCACTTGCTGCTCTTGGTTCTTGAGCCTGACGGTGAAGGTGGATTTCCTGATTTACAGCTTTCTGGTCTCTGCACAGCACAGGAGAGTCAAAGCTATGGGTCCCCTGCTAGCTAAGCCCAAAAGCTCTGCAGGCAGCAGCCAGGACGCCTGTCGCTTCCTTTGCTCTACTCAGCTCAGCAGCAACAGGCAGGGGCTGAAGCTGCTCCAGCAAGGAGGTTCTTATCTGGTTCAGACATTATGCTGAGCTCTTGTGTGGTTTCACTGGTTTCATTCAACCATGTTGCCTGCGCATAGCCCTTGTGTTCAGAAAAAAAAAACCCATGCGTCGCACTCAGCCTGTGCATGCCTCCATCCAGCTGTGGCTTATTTAAGAGAATACGGTTGAGCACATGGTGAATTCTTAGCCAAAGAGCACATCTGCAGGAGGTCCCTATCTTGGGCCTTAAAACTTGGAGGAAGACCCTCCAGAAAGATGCCCCTTCATGCCAAGGTCTGGCCTCTCTGCCAACTCCCCTTCCTGGCTCCTCAGCTGGGCAATGCTCTTCCTCCCAAGCTGCACTGAGCTTCCTGGGAACATCTAAAAAATGCTTCTCTGTTGCCAGGTCTTCAATTGTTCATTAATTCTGTTGTGTCTTTGCACTGTTCATTGCACTCCACCTTGTGTGGATGATAGTCACCTCCAGAGCTCAGAATCAGCAGGGAAGCGTGATCTAAGTCAAATAAGCAGGCCTGCCATGTGCATATGTAGAAAGGAACTTGGTCTTTTTGTTCACATCCAGGGCCATTTTCTTGACCTATAGGGCCCTTCTGCGGATGCCCCAGAGATAGGCCCTCATCTCCTCTTTAATCCCCTGCACTAAACAAGCCTGAACCAGACAGATCTGTTGCCACTTTGTTCAACCAGAAGACAGGCCAAGTTGCAAAGCAGCATCAGGAGCTGCCTGGCCAAGCTGTAGATTTGAGGTGACTTGGTTAGGGGGTTCAAGCCAGCTCACGGCCAATCACCCAGCCTGGAAGTCAGTGTTTTTAATAACCCTCTTTGTGGATCACTGCATGCTCTTGGAGTTTAGGTTGGCTTTGTCTCGACTTGGGAGTCAATGCCAGCTATCGCCGTTCGATGCACACTTCAGTTCTGCCAGCAAGAAATATGACAGCCCAGTTTTTGCCATTCGTCACATGGCCCGTCTTTGCTACCCTGGTATATCCATGCTGAAGAGCAGCAAACACATGCCAAGCGAAGATGTTCAAAAGCGGAGAGATTTTAACGAGAAACTTTGAAGGCCAGGGAAGAACGAGCCGAGTCTCCCAGTAGGAAACAGGCACTCCAAATCACTGACAATAAGATCCAAAAACATGAGCATTAGTCATAGAATGGATCCCACTTATCAGATTAACAGAGTTGGAAGGGACCTTGTAGGTCATCCAGTCCAACCCCCTGCCCAAGCAGGAGACCCTACACCAGGGGTCTCCAACCTTGGCAACTTTAAGCCTGGAGGACTTCAACTC